CAGGCTGGCGCTCAGGCCCAAGTTCAGACCCCCACAGCATCTCAGTACCCGCCCTTTCCTCTCTGCATCTCGGAGGGCAGAGACGGGGCGACACTGCTGTGTACACAGAAGCTCTTCTTATCAGATGTCAAGAGCTTATTTACAGCCATATCTGACTTCCCTCTGAACACAGAGCTGAACTCCAGGCTTGGGAGGCGACAGGCGCTGGGGCTACGCTTTAGACACCTTCAGCCAGGGCTGTGGAAAGCACTAGTCACCACGTGGGCGCTGGGTGCCACAGCCAGCATCCCATCGTGCTCTGCATGAGGACTCCAGCAGCCAAGGGGCGTGTTTATTCTCTGCCTTCCTTCCCAGTAAGCGATCGCCTTCCATCCTGACAGGCCCCCCCAGCCGCCCCCCAGCCTGACCCTCTGAGGGCTGTCCCTCACTTCTCTGCAGTGCCCAGGCGAGCTCCCCACGGCCCTCTGAAGCTTCTACACCAGGGTGCTTTCGCTCTCCCTAGTTTCCTATCTTCTTAGCCCAGTGTGTTTGTTATAAAACCACTCTGCTTATAACACAGCCATCTGGTCCGCAAGCACTGCCATTCTTAGGAACTGTCAAGCTTCCAGCTATATTTGCATGTTTTGGTTTTAGTTCCAGACAGTACTGAAGGCTGATCGTGCCCTCAGCTCCAGCTCAAATCAGCGCTATCTTAAAATGTGCTCAGACATTGCTCCTTGCTGGTCAGCTGCAGCCCCATCAAAGTGGAAACACATTTTGCTGCTAGCTGCTTGAACCACGTTCAATTTCCGCCGCCCCCTGCTCTGGCCAAATTACAGTTACTCTGAAGTGACCGCACCGGCCTTTATGCTCTCAACTTATATTAAACCACAGAGTGGAATAACAGATACATTAGCTCTGAAAACTACTTAGCTATTGTCTCGGTTATGCTTCTTATTGCTCTGAGACGTAACACCCAGCACTCAAGGAGGCAAAGCTACAGGAGGAAGGGCATCTGGTCACAGCTGGCAGAGGCTGAGTTGCTGGCTGGCTGCTCCAAGGTGGGGTGCAGGCAGAGGGGTATCACAGAGGACAAACGGTCCGTGGCAGGCAGCGTCAGTGAGGCGGCAGGCAGCAGGCAGCAGGCAGCAGGCAGCAGGCAGCAGGCGGCAGGCGGCAGGCAGCAGGGAGGGCAGCAGGCTCCTCTGCCACTCACATCCTGCCCAGCCACACACCCGCAGGCAGGCAGCGCTCACACCGGGAGCACCGTCCCATCACCACCTGGAGCCAGCCTACCCAGTCCATGGGCTGGCTTGGTCACCGCACACCCTGGGTCCCAGCATCGCACGCTCTCCACCAGCCATTTCTGAGAAGCCTCGTCTATGACCGCATGAGGGTTGGGGGCACATCTGGACTCAGCCCATAGAGATACGTTTAGATTTTTAAGATGTCTACCTCTGTTCTCTGAGTGCTGCGGTACACTCGATCCAACCCCGGAGAAGACCTGGGCTCCTTCTTGCCACATACACTGGAAAGCCTCACACGCAAACCCCACTCTCCTGGGAGGGCGGACAGTCAGCACAGGGCAGAGAAAACCAAACCAAGCACACTGTCCAGCTGGGGCCAAAATTCCTCCAGACCAAAACAAGGCGCCACGCAGTGAGCAAGGGCATCTCCTGTGCTGCAAAAGCTTGCGTGGCCCCCAGGGGAGCTCTCAGGCAGAGCCACCCGGCCCTATAGGGACACATCTTTGTCTGATGCAGTCTTAAGTAAGAATAGCACTGAGAGGTGTTTTTGTTTTGTTTTTTTTTTTTAAAAACCAAACAAAGCAAAAGCTCCCCGTGCTATCACAAAAATCCCACACATGGGAGTGTCTAAATGCCTCACCCAAGAAAGCCACGGGACCCTGTGAGTACCTTCTTGGGCCGCACTCTGATTTCTCAGACCCCTAGTTGTTTCTAAGTCAGGCAAGAGGACCCTAATGTAGGCGGCTAAGGAGGCGGTGAAGGGAGCAGCCTGCGGGAGGCTGTGGTGTGCGCAGCCCACCCAGGCCGGGGCGTGACGGCAGCAGCTGGTGGGTGCTCACCAACGAGGACAGTGCACCCCCTGGACAGCACCTGGTGGGAAACAGGCCGGCTCCTACTTCTTTTTAGTGCATACGTAATTCAACACAATTGGCAGTAGCAGAAGGAATCCAATAGCAACGAGCTGGAAGACCCTGGCTGGCCGCGTGTCTCTCCGGCCGCAGGCCCACCTGGGGCCTTGCTATCCTATCCCGCTGCACGTGCCAGTACTCCACAGCCTAAGTTGCTTCTCCAAAATTATTCAGTGAAATGACTTAAAACACCCAAACACACATCTTTCTTTTGATATTACATATTGTACAAGGTCTTCCTAATTTGAAGGACAGTAATGACGGCCACAATGAAGACATCATGAAGACGTCCGTCTGCCTCTGTGTCTCCCTGGTAGGCACAGGGCAAAGCACTTTATTTCCATCACCTCATTTCATTCTTGCACCCAAAGAAAGTGGGAGCCAACGTACCCTCACTGTACTGGGGAGCACCCCGAGGCTCACAAGGGCAAGGGGACCGGCCTCAGCCCCACCCTCCACAGCTAAGTGTGCTCACATGGCGGCCTGGCCCTCAGATCCACAATAACCACTCAGGGACGGCCCCCTGTGCAGGACAGACATGGTGCCTTCCAGGGCCTGACCCCGACTGAGGCCACCGTCCGACTACATGACTGAGGCTGCACTGTCTGGAAAGAGCGGCCCGTTCTCACAGCGACATCTCTGCACCTCTGCCCTCCAGCACGGGCTCCCAGTCCCTCCGGTCAGTGCCCCTGGCTTTCACACCGTGCTGCAGAAGGCCAGGGACAGCCGGCACCCCTCTGGCCGCCACAGGTACCTGCAGGCAGTGGCATCACACTGGCCTCTTTCCAAGGCCCATCACAAACCCATGACGTCCGTCCTGAAGGCCTGAACACGACAGCAAAGGTATCAGTGCTGCAGGGCTGATTCCAGCGCCTTCCCCAGAGCCCACAGCCCAGGGGAAGGCAGAAGGGACCCCGGCAGACACTCACCGCTCCCCATGGGCCTGTCCTCCACTGGTTTCCTCCCAGCACATGGGTGCGGCTTGGGCTGGGGCCCCGGGGCCGGAAGTCCTCGTTTTGGAAGGGGAAGGAAGCCAAGTCTCTGTTGGGGGTCCAGTGCGGGCACGGTGACATGGAGCAGTCCTGTTCTGTCTCTGGGATGTAGTCCAGGTCACACTCGCTCTGATCCACGACGTGGTCGCTGTAGTTGACACACTCCACTTGCCGGACGGCCCTGCCTTGCCCGCATGTCACGGAGCACTGCTCAGTGTTCAGAAAGACAAAGGGCCATCACTGGCCGGCTGCTCTTAGGGTCCCGATGCTCCTTCTGCAAACAGCCCACCCTTCCCCGCTGCTCTGGGAGAACCATGGCTACCCTGCACTGCCTCCCCCATGACCATTTCGCCAGGGAAACCTGTCGAGCCCTATCCAAGTACCAGCCAGTCCTCATCACCTCTTTGTCTGTCTTCACCTTCTCTTGCCAGGATTACCTCGGTGGCCATAAGCTGAGTTCCTTCTCACAGTTTGGCCCTGGCCGTCTGAGTTTGCTGTCCACACGCCACAAAGCCTGACCCTTTACACCAAGTCCCTCGCGTGACTTCCCCGTCCGCTGGGAATACCACCCTGACTCCTTAGGCGGAGCTGCGAGGCCCTTTCTGACGGTTGCTGGCTGCCTTCTCTGTCATCCTCCACTGTCTCTTGTGCTAGGTGGTTCCGCAAGGGTGCTATGTGAACACAGCCAACCACTCTCACCTCGGGGACTTCAGATCCCTGAGGCGTTTGCTGCCCCTGAGGTCATCCGTGGAGCCCACCTTTCTGCTTCACCGAGGTCCCACTCCATGTCAGGACCATTAAGCAACCCTACAAAGAGCCCCTCCTCTTCCTCCTCACTCCTCTGCTTGGCTTCTGACTAGAACGTGTCAGCGCCTGTTGCTCTAGCACACATTTCTTATTTGTACAGTAACGGGGTCCTCCACTGGAAAGATCTCCACAAAGGCAGGATTCTAGGCTGTATCCCTAGTCACCCCTTGTGCTTTGAGCTTCTCCATGACCTGGTGAACGGACAGGCAGATCTAATGGGCAGATGAACGGAAAGCTGGGGACAGACGGAGGGTCTGGAGGCTGAAGGCACGAGTGAGCCTGGCGGCCATGCGCTGAGGACCTGCTTCTGGCGAAGCGTTTGGCATGTGTATGCGGCTGACCCTCAGAAGCTGCCTTAAGGTAAGGGCTTGTCCCCTTCTGCACAAACCCATGCATGGGCTTGGTATGCCCAGCAGGCGGCCCTCGAAGCCCAGGGGCAGGATTCCCACTTCTCGTGGTGGACGTGGAACCAAGAGTGACCAGACTTCCCACAAACACAGGTGTGGCAGGCGCCAGTAACAAAGCAAGAGCGCCCCTGCCTGCCTCGGGCTCCCCACTGCTGGGGGCTCCACCGCCCTAACACATCCGCAGCTCCTCACACTGGCCTCCAACTGGTCTGGCAGCACGGATACATGTGCAGGAGCCCTGTAGGCTGATTTACTCATTTTAAAAATGCACATTCCTTGCTCCCAGGACTGGGCTTCCTCGTGCACTTGAGCAGCTGGTGCAGCACAGTTTAAATCACAGCCCGAGTCCACTGGCTGACACGAACACCCTGGACTCTCTGTGCCCCTCTGCCCCTGAGCATGTGCCCTGTTCCACAGAATCTGCACGCTTACCGTGCTCCAGTCTGAGGCCTTCCACTGCCCGCAAGGCGTGACCGAGCACTCCTCCTTCGCCACTGGTCTGGGCAGGCCGGCACAGGCGCTCTCGTCGGCCACGGAGCCATCCTCATCTCGGCAGCTGACGTACCGCATGCGGGTGCCTTTCCCACAGGTGGCCGAGCACTGGGTGTTGGGTGAAAGGACACGGTGAGGAGATGCTGCCCAGTCCCCACAGCTGGGCAGGAAGACCGCTGCCTGCCCTCCACCCTCCCCCTCTCTGGGCTGGTGCCTTACTGAAGTCCAGGACCCAAATCGCCACTGGGTCCGTGGCATGCCATGGGAGCCTCTGTTTGTTTGCGGGGCCACAGCGGGAGGATGACAAGGCGGCAGCTCGCAGTCCTAGAGGTGAGGGGCAGGACGGTTACTCAGGGTGACAGGGGTGCAGCGGCCACAGAGTAAGAAGCCAGGATTCACACGTCCTGAGCTTGGATCTCGGCATCTCTGGGAGCCGCAGGATGCCCCCAGCCCTGGGAAATGTGGCTTAGCCTCCATGGCTGCCTTAACACGGGCCTGGGCCTACTTAATGAGTTTTAAAGCCTTATTTAGGTACCTGCTTGTATGAAAAGAGAAGCAAGTATTATTAGATGCAAGGGACTGTACGGCCAAAAGAAAGGGTAAATTTTATTTATTTATAATCTCATTTATTTATTTATTTGGTACAGGGTCTCGATAAACAGCTCAGACTCCTAGTGATCTTCCTGTCTCAACATCCCCAGTGCTGGGATTACAGGCGTGTGCCACCACGCCTGGTTTCCGGGCAACATGGCGTACCCGAGGTTCATGGGCTGGTACAGCTTGCAGGACCAGGGATCAAACCTGGGTCCTTGTGCTTGCCAGGCAGGTGCTTAGACCACTGAGCTATCTGCTCAGCCTGAATGGGGTAACATTTAAAAACTATTGTTAGTGCTTTAAAACTATCACAGCTAAATGCTGTTCTCATATCTCAGCTCCCTTATCAAAGTTTGCTAATCATGAACGTGTTTTCTCAGTTACCTAAAGATAACACGGAAGTCCTGAAGGTCAAATCCGGAAATGAAAGGTGCATCCAACAGGCCACTGCTGGAATTCGCGGGCCCCTCGCTCAGGAGAGCTGGGCCCTCGGACCACTGGCGCCGGCCCGCATCCGCACACCCACTCACAGGGGCGCGACTGTTCCTCGACTTAATCCAGACTTAATCCACTCGCGCCCAAGGCCGGCCACAGGGGTCGTGCCGCAGGGCCGGGTTTGGTGCCGACCGAGGGAGCCTTCCTTCCAACCAGCCCAGGCGGAGGGAGCCTGGTGCTCGGCTCCAGACTTGCCTCTTCTTCCGCCCGTGGCCCCCGAAAGCCGCAGGGTCTCCTCCCCAGTGAAGCACAGCCACCTGCTGCGGGAGCCTGCCGGCGGACCGCGCATCGTCAGAGAGGGGGTGAGCTGCTGACCTCTGCTTGCCGCATTCGCGACGGCACAGCTCACCCTTGCCTGGGGCTTGCCGGACTCGCAATCCAATAATGAAAATGAAGAGGACGCAAGTCACAGGTGCTGTCTGGCCAAGCGACTGGCGACAGCACGGAGAGCAGCGCGGCCGCAGTCGCTTTCTCGAGGTTCTCTGCGCACCAGGGCTCAGCTGCAGTGCGGAGGCAGGAGGCGCTCACAGCGCACCCGGCCTGGGGGCGAGGCCTCGCTGGAGCGCTCTGGGCAGGCACAGGTCGGATCCCAGAGCCAGCTCTTGGCCCAGGTGACACAAGGCGCACTTCACCACGTCCAAGCTCTGAGCGAGGGCTGTGCCGAGGCGAGTGTGCTCTCGGGTGGGCTGTTGTACGCAGGCACACGCGTACACAGAAAGGACGAGCAGTAGAGGTGCGTGTGCACACCTGGTGTCACAACTGTACTCAGCTAGAGGATGTCTGATGGCTTGTGTCTGGATGTCCCCCTACACCCTCTCGGTAGGGGGGCAGGCCCTTCAGAGGCAGCTGAAGCTGGAGTCTGACTGGTCCACGTCTAGGGCTGGGGTTGGGCTGGGAGCGCAACCTGCCCTGGGACACACAGGGGAGGGAGAGGCTTGCTTCTCCCTTCTGCTCTTGCTGCTTTTGCTGTCTTCTGCCACCTGGAACCACGGCCCCTCCCCGTGCCACCCTACCTTGGAGCAGTTGAGTACAGACTGAGACCCCCACAAACACTGAGCGTGGGCAATTTCATCTCAGCTGGGAGAGAAAGTAACTAAAACAGATGTGCAGCAAGTAATTTACAAATAACAACACCATTAGTTTTAATTCTATGTAGCCAATTGATTTTTCTATAAAATGCTTTGGCTGATTTTTGCTGAACTTTTTTTTTCTTTTTTTCTTTTGGGGTATCGGAGATTGAACTCAGACCCTGTACTTGCCAGGCAAGCACTTATTCTCCTGAGCTATCTTCCCAGCCCCAATTTTTGCTGAACTTTTAAACCTATTGCTAAACTCTGAGCAAAGTGGTTCTGGTGTGGACATTAGCTGACACTTTGTTTATATTTCAGAGAAAGGTGAGAAAAACCACCCACTAGTAATCGCAGCGCTCTAGGGAGCTGAGGCAGGAGGACTGCAAGTTGAAGGCTGGTCTAGATAGCCTAGGGGCTTAGTGACACCCTACCTCATCATAAAAATGAAAAATGGTTCAGGTTCTGGTCCAGTGCAAAGGCCCTGAGTTTAATCCCAAGTACCATGAAAATAAAGGAAGGTGACACTGGAGAGATGTTTGTCAGAACCCAACGCACTGCCCACTGCTTTGAAAGAATTCTTGGAAGAATCAAGAAGAGAATCGTCAAGCACAAGCAGGGGAAGAGCTAAGGTTGCGTGTGCTGTTTACAATGAAACAGCTATAGGTAGAAGATCCTTTTAAGTGTAATCCGCATTATTACCATTTCCCCATCACATTCTTAAGGTGAAACAATAGACAAACAATGAAGGAAGCCCAGCATTACAGTACTTGCTGATTTTTTAAAAAATGTTTTGGTGAAATAGTCTCACCAAGGCTAATTTCAAGGGCTGGGAGATAGCTCAGTAGAATCAGTGCTTGCCTGGCAAGCGCAAGGTCCTGAGTTCAATCCCTGGTACTGGCAAAAAAAAAAAAAAAAAAAAAAAAAAGGCTAATTTCAAGCTGCTAACCTGATACCAGTCAGTACCAGGGTGGGCAGGTGCTCAGCACCCTCCGTGCAAACACATGCAAGTGTCAGTAACCAAGGACACAGATAATTGTGCAATGCACTAAAATGGCTAAGAAGTGAGACTTTAGAACCCTGATATGGGCCGGCCAGATAGCTCAGCGGATTAAAGCTCCCACTTAGGCAGATGCAGGAACTGAAGTTCATCCCCATCCCTGGCCTGCTGGGCCAGCCCTGCCCCGGAGCATGCTGACCTGGCAACTGAGACTGGGAGCGGAGGGGCGCGCCTGCAATCCCAGCACTTGGGAGGCTGAAGGCAGGAGGAGCACCATGAGTCTGAGCTGTGCAGTGAGACCCTGGAGAGCCTGGAGAGCCCGCACGCAACACACAGAAAGCCCCACCCCGATAAGCTCTGCTTTCAGTGGCATCGATTTCCTGGTAGGTTACATCACTGCACTAGAATGACGGCCATCTCTAATTTTCAGCTCACAGTGTTTCTATAAAATGCACCAGTTGGCACGTACTCACGCGCCGGCCCAGGATAGCCTCCACACTCGTGTGCTAACCTTATGACAGTAGTTTCGAATTCTACAAGGAATCATTAAAACTGCAGTTGAAGAAATCAAAAGCGAGCAATGTTTGATACCCACTAAGAAGCAAACACAGATCCACACACACTTTAAATAACTAGGGAAGGAGAGTCGGGGAAGCATGATACCAGGCTCTTGCAGAGCGAGCAGAGCGCTCCAGATCAGCCGGGCAGCCGGCTCCTCTGCCCTCACACCCGCCCTGTGAGGAGCCGGGCACTGCCCGAGCTCCTGGAAGCGGCAGCCTAGTGCCCGGTGGCAGGGCCTGCGTGGACGCCGAGACCCACCTGGGAGTCGGTTGGCCGAGTGGCCGCGTTGCAGGCGCTGTCATCCACGCCCGCCATGTACGTCCCCATGATGCACTTCACTGCTCTCAGCTGGTAGCCCTGGCCACAGGTGACGCTGCACTGGGGAGGGAGGAGACAGAACGGTCAGGACTCTTTCCTTCTGTGCACCATAACATCTGGCAAGGGACAAAGACTTCCATCACGATGGGCCGGACGGCCGGCGCCAAGAAGTCAGGTAGCAGGGGGCAATCCTGTTTTGTAAAGGTTACACCAACTGGGCTGAGGAGATAGCTCAGCCGCGTAAGTGCCCGCCTGGCAAGCGAAGCTCCCAGGTTCAATCCCTGGTACTGAAAAAAAAATTATACTGACCAATTATTATGAGGACATGGGAAATGTTATCTTCCTGAGTTTGATCCCTTGACTGAAACCTAGGATAGGAGACCTCTGTCATTTTCAGACTTTTTACCTTCTACCTAACAAAGAACTGGTCTAAGATGAGTTCTTAGAAGAGTGCTGTGACCGGAAGTAGTTGGTCCCCAGAATAATCAATAAAACTGAAAAATGTTTAATAAAAAACAAAAGACAAACAATTCCAGTTACTAAAACCAGAAGTGAAAGAGGGGGCAAACGCTACAGACAGCAAAGGCTGCTAAGCGTGAGCTCTGTACAGCTTCAGGCCCGCAAGTCAGACACTCGAGAGGACCTGAAAACGCGGACGGTCCAGAAACACAGGACTGCGACACTGACACAAGAAGAAGTGGAGGGCTGGGGAGAGGGCCGGGCCGAGCATGAGCCGGACGTGCTCAGCTCTGGGTTGGGCCCCCAGCACCGAACTAAACCAAACCAAACAGAACAAATGAAGCCATGGCCCTAAAACATGAAAAGAAAAACATTAAACCAGTAATCAAAGATCTCTCAACAAAGAAAAGCCTAGAACTCTTTGACAGTAAATTTTAGCAAATACTTAAGAAAGTATTCCCTTAGATTCCTTCCAAATGCTTCAAAAACACCTAGGAGGAGGGAGGCGTCCCCAAGTCACTTCATGAGGCCAGCATTGCCAGGCACCTAAGTCAGAGGAGGAAAGGGAGCTACAGCCTGGTGTCTCATCGCAGTCCTGGGGCCAACCCCAGCCAACTCCATCTAAGGAGATGTCCGAGCGAGGACGGCCGGGAAGGCACGGGTGCCTGGGCATGAAAAGAAATAAACCAAATTGACAAGTAGCAGGGGACAGACGCTTGCCACATCCATCGATAAAGGGCATTTACTGAATTCCACCCTTCCCGTGAAAAGCCACAAGGTGCACGCGCACACACACACACACACACACACACACAGGAGCGCGCAAGGGCGCTTCTTCACAGGGCTCACTGGCGCCTTTGAAGAGCTTCAGCCGCTGCTACACAAGGCCGGGACAGACTGAAATCCTCCTTAGCATCAGGAATGTGACAAGGATGCATGCTGCCGTCTCTGCCCCTCAGCAGCAGACCAGAAGTTCTAGCTGGACAAGGAGGAACGAAAAGGGAGGGCAGAAGCCAGCTTTGCTCTCTGCGGGCCATGATGCTCTTCATAAGAACCTCAGCGAACACGTGGAAATTACTGTGGCTAGTAAAAAAAGCTAGAGGGCACGAGTTAGAGAAAGGTCAGTTGTTTCTATCAGCTAACAAAGAATAATTCAAATGTGAAATTAATTAAGCAATTGCATTTTCAATAAAAGAATAAGACATCTAGAAAAGAAAGTTAAAAGTATTTCAAGATGTTAAAAGTATTAAAAGTTATAAAACAATGCCGGGAGATGGCTCAGTGGAATAAGTGCTTCCCTGGCAAGCACAAGGGCCTGAGTTCAATGCCCAGTTTCGCAAAAAAAAAAAAAAAGAAAAAAAAAGAAAGAAAGGTTATAAAACATTACTGGAAAAAAAATTAGAAACTCTTGGAAGCTGAAAAGTTAAACACAGAATTCCTGTACGATCCAGCAATTCTATTTCTAGGGAGACGTCCCAAGAAGTGAAATCAGGTACTAAAATAAACACTCATTCACAGCAGCCAAAAGTAGAACCAATTCATCAGGTCATCTTCAACGAATAGGTAAAGTGTGTTGTATCTACCCATACAATGGAACATTATGCAGCCCTGAAAAGCACTGGTGTACTGTGACACGCTACCATGTAGCTGACCTCAGAAGCAATCCTGCCCAGGGATGCTGGTCAGACACAAAGGTTGTTTGTTCACTGTAACGTGTCTCACGCAGGCAAGGTCTCTTGGGGGTGGTGGGAATGTTTCAGAAGTTGTTTGCAAAACATAAATAGCTAACTGCCACTGATTTGTTTGCTTTTAAATAGCTGCCTTTATGCCAGTGTCACCTCAATTTTAAAAGAGTGGAGTACAATCCTAAGAGTCATTTTAAAATAAAGGAATTCACAAGCACATGAACATGAACAGTCTCTTCTGTGCAGTTAGTGTGTATTTGGTTTTCTGCTTTGTGTGTGTGTGTGTGTGTGTGTGTGTGTGGTTTTTTTTTGTTTGTTTGTTTTTGAGGAACTGGGGATTGAACTCAGGCCCTTCAAGTGCTTATCTACTGAGCTATCTCCCTAGCCCCCATGGTTTCTGCTTTTTGATAAATTACATTTTGTAAAATTTCTTACAAATATTTATCTCTCTTAAATATAGTAATTAAAAAAAGAAGCGGCTCCTGAGTCATAGGAGCAGCCCAGTGATGAGCTAGGAGTGGCCTGTAAAATTTCTTACAAATATTTATCTCTCTTAAATATAGTAATTAAAAAAAAGAAGCGGCTCCCGAGTCATAGGAGCAGCCCAGTGATGAGCTAGGAGTGGATGATAAAAAGCAGGCCGTGAGACACGAGGCGTTCCCTTCCTCCTCTTCCCCGAGAACTGTGGGCACAGACAGTGCAGGCAGGCTCGAGATGCACAGAGCTCTTTGCTTCATCAAGCATGACTCGCCACTGGGCTGGGGATCGGCGAGGAGGGATTGTCGCCGTGGAGGCGAAGGCTGGACAGGGCAGTCACAGGGCCACAGGCAGGTGCGGGATGAGGACAGAGGCCCCAGCACAGAGACAGTGGAGGGTGAGGGACTCTGGAAGAGGGCAAGGAGATGGCAGACAAGGGCTCCGCTGCTGCGGAACTCAGAGCCACGGTGCCCGGGGCTTTCGCTTCTGCCCTCTTAGGAAGGGCTCAGTCGCAGGTGTGAGCACTGCCCAAGGGGGCCTCCCGTCCTCCTCTAAGGAGAGCTCAGCTTCAGACCATGCAACCCTCTGACCACAGCCTGTGCGAGGTCCTTTCCCAGCCTCTCTGCCTGGCGAGTCACGTCTCAAGTAGGACTTACTCATGAGGGGAGGGCTCTGCACGTCAACTCCAGGCCGTGCTTGCAACTGCATGTGGAGGGCCGAGACTCCCCTCCCAGCCCCAGTCCTGCTCCTCCCTCCAGAGTTGCTGTCTGGTTTGCGATCACGCTGAAATGGAGCCGAGGGGCCCCCGGGAAGGCCCCGGCCACTGTGGCCTCTGCAGTGGGTCAGCGTGGCGCCCCTGTGCAGTCGGAGCCATGGGTCACGGCTCGCTTATGAGTGTGGCTGGAATAATAACAGCTGCGAAAGGCCCACAGCAGGCCACAGTGCTTCCCACGCCTGACCACCCTCACTGGTGCCTGTGTGCCACAGCGTGGCCCTGTGCAAACCCTCTCCAGATAAGGAAAGAAGACTGTTTAAAAAATCCTATCGTCCACCCCACATACCTGTCCCCAGGGTCCCGCCTGCCAGGATGCGCACTCCGGCTGCTGACACGTCTGTGTGGACACAGGCTTGGCCTCGGGGTCACAGATCCTGTCGCTCACTTGATCTGCACCGAACTGACACCAGACCTGCCGGTGCTTATGGCCCTTGCCGCAGGTGACCAGGCACTGTAACGAAAGGCAGAGACAAATTCTGAAAAGGGGTGGAGGGCCGGAGGGATCGCTGTGCAGTCTAAGTACCTGCCTGGCAAGGACGAGGGACTCTGGACAGGGGACAGCAGACAGCTGCTCTGCTCCTGCGGAACTCAGTGCCACAGTGCCCGGGGTGCTTTCGCTTCTGCATTAGGAAGGGCTCAGTCGCAGGCATGAGCGCGTGCCCAAGGGGGCCTCCCGTCCTCCTCTAAGGAGAGCTCAGCTTCAGACCATGCAACCCTCCGAGCACAGCCTGTGCGAGGCCCTTTCCCAAGGCAAGCGTGAGGACCTGGGTTTAATACCTGGTACCACATGCTGCGCAGGACCCCGAACCCTGGGCCAGCCATGCTGGCCATGGACACCAGGCGTGGTGGCGCAGGCCTGTAAACCCAGCGCTGGGGAGGCTGACACAGGAGGAGTACTACGAGCCTGAGCTGCAGAGCGAGGCCCTGTGCCAAGTAAATCAATAGAACTTTTTTTTTTTTTTTTTTTGGCAGAACTGGGGATTGAACTCAAGCCCTTGCACTTGTCAGGGAAGCGCTTATTCCACTGAGCCATCTCCCCTGCAATAAAACATTTTTTAAAATAAAAAAATAAAAAGCAGAGGTCCTGGGCTGTTTTGGCACGGGCAGTCGCCGATTAGCAGGCACGGCGGAGCCCGTGCCCACACTGCGCCTCCCGCCCAAGCAGCGGGGAGCGGCCCAGGCCCTCTGCTCCCCCTCCCCTCCTGCCTTCTCTCTGCATTCCTCGAGCTGAGCCAAGACAAACAAAACATACAGTCAGCAGAGCACCATGCTCTACGGCACTGAAAAACAAGTCCTGACTTTCTAGCATTTGGGGTGAAGCATGGGAATTTCGAGTCAGACCCTGGGGGTGGGGGCCCCAATACAGCCAAGTTACATGGTCTCTCTGTGCCTGCATTTCTTCTAAAGGAGGAATAATTATAATGTTTATTGCAAAGGGCTTCACAAAATGAAAAAAAAGTGAAAGTAAAGCGCATAACAAATTCCATTCAAAAATTGCTAATTGTAATTATTACTCATTTTAGAGAATTTGAAAAACACAAAAAGATCACAAAAGACAAAATTATAACAACCTAAAATCTCACCACTCAAGGGAGAGTGTTATCACCACTTTTTTTTTTTTTTTTTTTCTGTAGTTTAGGGAATGGTCTACAGGGTGTTCAGGGTCTCACTACTAGATGGGACTCATGGTGATCCGCCTGTTTACAGCCTCCCAAGAGCTGGGATTGCAGGTATTTGCCACCACGCCCAGTCTCAATTGCTGTCTCAGCGTGCCCCAGGGGCAGGGTCAGCAGGTAGGCCCCAGGATCGAACCCCGGCCTCTGCCCCACTTGCAGGGGCCTTAATCTGCTGAGGTATTTGGCCAGCCCTTCTTCACCATTTGGTTTTTGTCTTTCCTCTTTGGATCTAAGGAATCTTGAATCCTGGATTTAATAATCTGACCTTCCCCACCCACATTTTATCAGGGATTCTTGCAAAGTCTGTTAATTTGAAATAAGACTTCAACTAATATCAGCTACCCACGTAAAACTTAAACCCATTCCCCTCTTTCACCTTTCTTAAATCAAGCACCAGGAGTGCTGACCTGCCCAGCAATCAGGCCCTGGCGATCAGGCGCACCGCCACTCCCCTCCCCGCCAGCAGCACTCAGTAGCTTTGCAGATACGCCCGGGACTTGACGGTGGGAGGGACAGTTACGATCCACTCGCGTGGGGGAGACAGGCAGGTACAGGCTGACCGCTGAGGCTGTCACCGCCTCCTCCCCCCACACCCTCGACTTCTCTGGTTAATGATCCCCAGCAGGATCTGGGTGAGCACCTCCTAGGGCCGTGCTAACACCAGGGTGAACTGACACGGAGTGTCACGTTGTCCCCCCCGACTAAGGCGCAGCTGCTGTGTCTCCTTTCTCTTGCCACCTGGGGCACAAGCAATAGAAGCCTTATGCGTTATAATGCCAAGGAAGGGGAAGGCACAGGTCTGGAATGCTCCACCTGCTCCTTCTTCTCCTTTGTTTTCCTCCAGTGACTGGAGGTATCAAGAGTCACTCCGCAGGTTCTCTCTTATTTACAAAAGAAAAAGTAGAAAAGCGCGCATGGATTTCAAGCTAGCATGGTTTTCTGATCCACAGAGCCCTGGTTTTCAATCAGCAACTCAGCTCAGAGCTGGCAAGGTGAGAAGCCCGCAGAAGCCACGCCCAGGTGGTCACATCCAGGGTCCACGGCCACAATGTGGGCGCAGTTGGGCTGCTCTTTCCTCCAGAAAAGGAGGGAGACAGGGTTGGCAGCTTTGCCCCTACGTGGACCTGGGGACACCCTGGAGGACACCCATGATGGCCTGGGGACACAGCCCTGCCTGCTCACCGGGGGAGACCCAGGAGGGTACTCGTGACAGCCTTGGGGCTCGGCCCTGCCTGCTCACCTGGGGAGACCTGGGAGGACACCTGTGACAGCCTCAGGGCACGGCCCTGCCTGCTCACCTAGGGACACCCCGGAGGACACCCGTGATGGCCTGGGGACACAGCCCTGCCTGCTCACCGGGGGAGACCCAGGAGGGTACTCGTGACAGCCTCGGGGCTCGGTCCTGCTTGCTCACCTGGGGAGACCTGGGAGGACACCCGCGATGGCCTGGGGACACGGCCCTGCCTGCTCACCGGGGGAGACCCAGGAGGACACTCGTGATGGCCTCAGGACACAGCCCTGCCTGCTCACCTGGGGAGACCTGGGAGGACACCTGTGACAGCCTCAGGGCACGGCCCTGCCTGCTCACCTGGGGTCGCCCCGGAGGACACCCGTGATGGCCTGGGGACACGGCCCTGCCTGCTCACCTGGGGAGACCCAGGAGGACACTCGTGATGGCCTCAGGACACAGCCCTGCCTGCTCACCTGGGGAGACCCGGGAGGACACTCGTGATAGCCTCAGGACACAGCCCTGCCTGCTCACCTGGGGAGACCCAGGAGGACACCTGTGACAGCCTCAGGGCACGGCCCTGCCTGCTCACCTGGGGAGACCCAAGAGGACATGTGTGATGGCC